TCGGTTCTGTAACACATGGTTCGGTATAATAAGATTTCGGTATAAGCAGGTTCGTTATATCCAGAGTCGACTGTATACTGTATCTGGTTATCATATCGTCAAAACTAATAGAGAATCTTTCCTTCCTTCTGGCATTTGTTTAGCTGTAGAGGATTTTTAATACCCTGACAGTTATCCATATGTCGATCGTTTATTTTGGATCATGGTGCGGTAAGAGACACATACATAGAGCGCAATATATTGTTTACAATACCTTATTATTATTTTTTTTTGTAAAAAGCTTCAATAGAATTGAGCCTGGCATTTAAATGTTTAATTTTGTGGTTATTTAAATAAAATTAAATTTTTACCGCAACCGCGAAAAATATTCTTTCCCCAATAAAAAGGGGATTTGGCTGATGGTTTGATTTATTTCGATCTACACGAATACTTAATTTCTTTGTTAATTTTGAATTTTACTATTAAATGATTTTTAAAAGAGAGTAAATCAAAAATATAAATAGTCATTTTCTTAATGTGCTGCACATTTTCAAGGAAAAAAGACGTAATTAATAAATCTTATAATGCTAGCTTACTTAAATGAATTGCAACTAGAGTGATTATGAAGAAATCAGCATGTCTAACACACAAAGTCTAACGTTGTTGAAGAATTCAATTAAATAAAAAGAGATTGCTGAATTTATTCAATGAACTGAGAACTTGAAATAAATTGCCTTAATAAGGAAAGGTATGTAGATAGTTTGCATTAAATTTTTTGAACTACTAAAATTTCTCGAAGTCGTTAATATATATGACTCAGATGATTACTCAATTGAAATACAACGGAAAGAATTAATAATTGCTTGTCACTATGTTTCATTATATTTAAAATCGGCTAATGAATAATATAACTTTTTAGTGTTATAGAAATGGAGTCTGAGCTTGAATTGGCGAGACAACGCTTCACTGAGCTTAAGGCCAAGGAAAACCAAATTTGAACTCGAGTCTTAGAAAGAAACATAAAATTTGATTACTGGATTTTCCTACAGTCGGTTGATGTAGCCCGTTACTACTTTTAAAGCTAGTCTGTGATAATGAAACAAAAAAATTAAGCAAGACAATAACTTCTTTAAACATTATAAAACTCGTTGTATCAAAATATCTCATCATCTGCGTGACCCGGACTAAAATTTTGCTGGCTAATTTAAAATAAAAATATCTATTTATAGATATGATATTGCTGGAAGCGATGATCGGATTTCTTTTTTTTATCTAACTTTTGCGTTTGTCAGAATAATTTTTGATGCAAAGTATTTTTTAACTAAAAAATGAATAAAAATAAATTCGTTTTTTAGTTCTCATAAAGTTATTCAAATATTATACAAGTTTTTAACATTCATTTCCTAATATTAATTATAATTCCAATAAAAATATATTTATATTTACCAATCATTTCAAAAAATAAAATTTAATGACATCTATTTTATCACATATATTTGATATGCCTTAATTTAAGACTTGAAACCTGAAATACAATTTTCTAATTTCAGTTCCGAATCCTAAATTTCAGAAGAATCAATTAAATATAAAAAGTTTTATTTATTTTCTTTTTACTTTTAGGATATTATTCCTTTAAACATGCTCTAGCTAGTCTTCGAAAATTGAAGCACAAACTAAATAATGGGAAACTTATGAAAATAACTTGTTTAAAGTTAATACTTAAAATTTCTAAAAACATAAGAAATATTATTACAATTATTGCGAATAATTACTTTATGTAAAGAATTGAATTAGAAACTAACAAACTTCGGTGATATATAAATCCTTTACTATTTTTTTCTAGCCTAATATAAATAAAACTTCTTTAATTCAAGCATTAAAGATAAATAAACAAAAATTTTGGATATTCCGGCCAAAATTTAGTTCATGGGAGTACAAGGATTAAAAAATTGTCAGTTATGAGATTAAAGTTTTCATACTGCAAGCCAAATGTAATACAGCAGAATTCTCATTATTAAGGAAGGTTGACAACTTGATTTGTGTAAATCAATAAAAAAAATTGCCTGGTTAAATGCATAATGCATGATGTACTGTTATAGTTGATGAATGAATGCAAAACAAAGATCAGTCTTAGATGCATCATATGTAAACATAAAAAAGGTGTAGTAGAAAAAATTTGATTATTTATATATTTCTTTTTTTCCATTTTTTTCCTTTTTCTTTTTCCAAAATAAAAAAAAGTAGCTTCCCAAATAATTTCAGCACATTTCTCAAAATGGATATAGCTTTGAAAGATTTTGAAATTCCATCAGATTTAATTAAACCTGTGGGTCCACTTAATAACGCTGGAGGAGAAAATCATATTAAAAAGAGGATATTTTTTAATTCCCCTGTGGCTGAAAAGGAAATTGGAAAATTTAAAAAAAATGACCCAAAACTTCGTGAATTGGAAAAAGAAGCCAAACTCATTCATAAAATTTGTACTTGTAGATTTGTCCTTACTTTGTAAGTACAAATGAAAATAGAATAGCGATTTTCTTTATAATAACGAATTTCTCACCTCACCTGTCACGTTGTGCCATGTTTTTTTCTTTTTGTAAAGTTATGGATTTATCCGACAAAACACAAGTTATAGTGTGATTTCGAAATGGAGTGAATATAACCTACAAACTTATCTTGCGGAATACCCGAATATGGAATGGACTAAAAAATTATCGATCGCTAGTGGAATTGCCAGCGCGCTAAACTTTATTCATAAAGAAGATATCTTACATCATGACATTAAAAGGTTGATATTACGCTGTCACACAATACTATGTTTCAAGTATATCACAAATATTTAAATTATTTAATTTATTAGCGGCAACATTTACTTAAATGCTTGTTTGCAAGTGAAGCTTCATGGTTTTCGCGTAGCAGAAGGTTCATCGATTTCCCCGGTTATGTTAGCTTCAGCTAGTGAACCGACAGATCCTAGATGGACTTCCCCTGAAAGGTTTAAAGATAATGAATATACTAGTGCCAGCGAAATTTATAGGTAACGCATGTATACCTTATGCGTTTATATTGTCATTATGATTTTTTTTTGTTTAATTGTTTTTTTAATTCTGATTAGTTTTTCCTTGGTTCTTTGGGAAATCATTAATCATAATATTCCATTCCACGATGTGAATTACGATTTGATAAAAAACAAGGTTCTCAACGGAGAACATCCGCAACCCGAGAAAACCAACGGAACACTTGTTGAATATCAAGAAATAATGGAAAATGGACGGGATATAAATCCAAAAAAACGTCCATCCGCCAAGCAAATGTTTGAAGTATTAAGTCATTTAGAATCAAAAGAATGGCTTGGTCATATGCTGCCTAGAATTGGGGACGATGATCTTTCGCAGTCCGACTTTAAAACGTCGGCTTTTTCACCAATGAATTCCAAATTACTTGAATTTCCAATTTCAAGATTAACAGATTTAGCATCAACAACAGATACTTGTAAAGCGGTATTGAAATTGTTTGAAAATGCAAAGCGTAATAGAGATCTTTTTGATAGGAGCGTGAATATTATTAAGGTTGGGAAGGTCATGCTAAATGAAGTTAAACAAACTATCGATCAATCAATAAATCTTTATTGGAAAGATTACATTGAAGAGTCTTCAGCTTTACAAAGATATAGCAATTATTTATTGAATATTGAGAACGTTAAAGCTTTTATAGAAGTTGATAATGCAGAGGTATGATGAGTTTGTTTTTTATTGTGTTAAATTTATTATGTTATATTTCAGAAGGTTTAAAATAAACTTTTTTAATTATTAGGTTCGACAAGAAATATCAACGTTAAATGATGAATTAGAAAGCATAACTAATGAATTACACAAATCGGTTCAACATTGGAAATCCGAATTTAATAGATGTAGAGTGTCTAAAGGAAAATTTAAAGCGGCTGCTAAAATGTTGATATTATATAAAACAGTTTCGCCTCAACCTATAATAGATTGTGAAATCCCATCATATTTTGCTGACACAGAACATTCATCTGTTGTTCTTGGAAGTAAGAATCATATTAAAAAAGGGCTTTACATGTACAGTGCTTCCGTAGCCGAAAAGATAGTTGGAAAATATGAAAAGAATGATCCAAAACTTCTCGAATTGCGAGAAGAAGTTGATTTTCTGAAAAGTCTCAGTGAATGTGAAAATATACTAAAGGTGTAAGTATAATTAGAAAATCTTTTTTTTTTTCAAAAATCCGTCAAGAATTCTTTATTCACTTGACACAATTATCACATTGAAAAGTTATGGACTCGTTCGTCGAAACACTAGTTATAGTGTTATTTTGAAATGGGGTGAACATAACTTACAACCTTATCTTGCGAAGAACCACAATATGGAATGGACAAAAAAATTATCGATCGCACGCGGAATTACCAATGCATTGAAATTCATTCACAAGGAAAACATATTACATTATGATATTAGAAGGTATAAGTATTTATTGACAGATTACTGTAACAATTTCAAATTATTATTTCTAATTCATAAACAAATTTTATTTACTAGTGATAATATTTACTTGGATAATCGTTTACAACCTAAACTTTTTGGTTTTCGTATTGTAAAAGATTCGCCAATTATGATGACTTCAGCTAATGAGCCAACAAATCCAAGATGGACTCCTCCTGAGAAGTTTCGTGGTGAAAAATATACTAATGCCAGCGAAATTTATAGGTAATATTTTTTTTATAATAATATAAAATAACAAGAAAAGGCGTGTCGAGAAAACTAACATATATCTTTTTTTCCTTGCATAGCTTTTCCTTGATCCTTTGGGAAATCATTAACCACAAAGTTCCATTCCACAACATAGATCCTGATGAGATTAAAATCCAGATTCTCAATGGAACACTTCCACAACCTGAAACAAATAATAACGCACCAGTCAAATATCAAGAAATAATGAAAAGAGGATGTAATTTTGATCCAAGAAAACGTCCATCAATTGAAGAAATATTTAATGTGTTAAATGAATTAGATTCAGAATGGCATAATGTTGATATCGGAGATGAAGATAATAATTTTCTTTCACCAAATGCTGCATTTAAAGATGATGCTTCATTTGAAGATAGTGAATTCTCATTTCATACGGATTTTTCAAATTCAAATAATAGTACATCCGATTTAAATTTAAATGTTACAACACATTTTGCGAAAAAACATTTAACTTTAGATAAGTTTAATCCATTTCGCAAACATTTAGATATTGAAGATGCGATTAAATTACATAATGGAAGACAATACAAGAAGGCATGGAAGTTGTTTAAAGAAATCGAGAGAAAAACTGGGACAAATGATGCAAAATTTTGTGTAGGATATTATTACCTTAAAGGTTTTCATGAAGGACGTGGCGGCATATCAGATCCTGACACAAGTTTAAAATATTTATATCAAGCAGCGAAAGCTGGTCAGCGTAACGCTCAATATTGGTACGCTGAAGTACTTTTAAATTCAAATTATAAATTAAAAGCTCAAAAAATTGATAGAGACCATAAACTTGCGATGGCATTTTTGGAGGAGGCCGCAAAACATGGTTGTGTTTCCGCCCTGAGAGACTTGGGAGAAATTAAGAAGAAAGGGAAGTATGGTAGCTCTCATGATCGTACTATTGGAAAGAATATGATTAGAAAAGCTCATACTATGAGTTTACTTTATTCACTAGATAGTTTAAAATAGAATTTTGCACTATAAAAGAAAAAATCTAATTTAACTTATTAAGTAAGTGCTTATTTGAGATTTGTCGCATAACGGCAGAGCCGTGATACCTTACCTGTGAGATTGGCGATTGAGCGATAAATCTAATATATTGTTGTATTCAGTTCTTTCGTTTATGTATTTAAAAACAATTTTGTAATTTAAGGAGAACGGTTTTATTGAATAATTATTGAGTAAAAATGAAGTAATTGTGACAAATCTTTATTTAATAATATCAAATTAATCAGTGTTGCCTGTCTGCGCTCGCAATGTCAATATGTACTACCATGTAAACTTTTATGTTAATATTTGCCAACAAGCACTCCGCCAACGTGAATGATATCTATCATCATCACTTTATGACGTGTTGCTCAAGGGAATGATTACTTATGATTTATCGCAGAAGGATCTAATCACGAAATGATTCCGGAGTTAATAAATAATATAGATAAAACAGGGCCTTTAATGGAAGTTAACACCGCCATACGAAAGAAACGTGCGAAGAGTTATAACGAAGATTAATTTCATGTTTTACTCCGCAGCCGGATGTTTCTCTTTCCGACCAAGCGTATGTCGTATATTAATACGAATTCTAAATTTATTGACATCAATTTATGCTAATTTATCGTTCTCCACAAATCGTGTTAGTCAATTTAATCGGATGAATAATATAATTTATACAATTTGATAATTTGATAGCATAGGAGATTAGGCTTACTGATAGAAATATAAAAAAATTAGCAGTAATTGACCAAATTATTTGGTAGTAATATCCGACTACCATTGTTGAACTGTAAAATTCCTTATTTAAAAATTTATACAAGTGGACATCATTTCCGAATCTATCATGTTTTGTTAAAATTTATTTAAAAATGATAAAGAAGAAAAGTAGTAGAAATTTATTTACTAAAAAAAAAAATAATCTCACCCAATCCATTCGGTTAAAGTATCTAACTTTGTAGAACGTCCTGGCTTAGGTCGTTCAAGTCGTCCTATAAAATTCAAGGTCAACTTATTTTGAGTAACCGACACAAATATCCACCAATATGAAGCTATATTCACAACGGAAGTTCTAATTTAAAGCTCTAGATGGTAATGGTATAACACCGTATTCGATGATCGTAGGAAATATTTTGATGCTAGACCATTACCTTTTTGCGATCCAGCCACTAAACGAACACTTAGGAAGAACTTCATAGATTTCTCGATGGAAAATGAACTGAACATCAAATATTTTAACAGGTTAATTATTTGTAATTTAGAATTTTTGTATAATTAACTTTAATTAGGAATTAGTACACTTAATGTCAATCAATTTATACTAATCAAATCTAAGCTTGATTTGGTGTTGAAGTTTGGCATCAATCCAATTTGCCTACACCTAAAAATGATTATAGGTGCCACCGCTTTTAATGAAAGTTGTGATTTAGTTCGGATTTAATATTGATGATCTAAATGTACCGGTAGGAATTCAGGAAAAGATCGGTTAAACTTGAAAGAATATAAAGATTCACATTATACATCGTGTAGATGATTCCAGGCGCTCGTCAAATACTAAATTTGATGATTAGATACTCATAATACACTTACATTAAAGAATTAAATATAAACTTTATTTATAGACGGTGTTCAACGATTAAAATTATTTTTATTTTTTTATTGTATTTAATTTTTTTTTTATAATAGTAATAAATTGTTTGTTCCGAACAGAACATGTTTTTACAAATTTTATAATTTATTGCTACCCTCGGCTGCTATACAGGAAAATTCTCTAATTCCATTTTAGCAAAAGTCAAAACTGATAGGTTTCGACAGGTTTCGAATACAGTCAACTGGTTTCGATATCGAAACCTCCGGAACGTCATTCATTTAAGCTATTATTTAAAAATATTTAATAATCAATAATACTATAGGAGTAAGTTATTTATTCTTTACATTTTAATTTAAATCTAATTAATTTAATGTATAAAATTTTAAAGATCGATAATATTTAGTTATTAAGTTATTTTTATTTATATTTTATATTTAATTATAAAATAAAGTAGTTAATTACTTAGGTAAAATATATACATCACGTACGTGAAGTCTAACACGGGTAATGTATTCTTGTGATTATCACATTACTACTAGACGAACACAGCGTCGCCCGTAAAAAATGGTAGTCGGATTTTATTTGCCGGGTATTTATTATTAGGGTTCGTATTGGAGTTAGGGTTTGGATTAGTATTAGGATTAGAGTAGAATTAGGAATAGTTAAAAAGTTAAGGGGGTTGGCAAATTTGTCACATTGCGTCAAATCCCAGCCGTTCTTAAATTTACTAAGTATTCTGGGGTAGGGATGGTAACGGTCGGTCAACGGTCGGTTAAAGGCCTTTGACCGACCGACCGGTTAACTGACCGATTTTAACCGACCAGTTGACCGACCGGTTAACTGTATATATAGGTTTTAATTTTATTGTAATAAACGATAATAAAAAATTAATTTTATTTTCATTAATCATTTGATCGCGAAATTTTTTAAATTTTTTAAATATTTTAAATATTTTATTTAATTTTTGTTTTATTAAATCTATATAATGTTTTGTGAAATCCAATTATATAAACATGCTCTTACAGTATCTCCAGATAAATAAACGATTTCGCGATTTACATAAAATATGACCAGCAATTGAAAAAAGTTGTTCACGTGGAACTGAACTTGCTTGAATACATAAATATTCAAATGCAAGTTTTGATAAATTAGGATATTCAGTAGAATGAGTTTTCCACCAATCCAAAGGTTTTACATCTTCTTCAGCTTCAGCAGAAATCCAATATTTATTAACTTCATCATCCGCGTTTGTAATAATAGAATTTGCTCCTTTTAACTTCTTATAAAAGCTTGAAACTTTTTTTGTTGATACAATAGGAACTCCTTGTTGTTATTGTTGTTGCTCTAATAGATTTCTAATTGGTGATTGTATTTCATAATCTGTCATTTCTAGAAAACAATATTTTTTATATCTAGGATCTAAAAAGGCTGCGATATAAGTTTCTTCTAATTTATTATAATAATTATTAAATTTTACTAACATTGCCTTAACTACATCATTTAATAAATAATCGTTACCATAATCAATTTCTAAATCTTTTTTAATTGCTAATAAAATTACTCTTGAATGTGCAACAGTAGGATATTTTTGTGACGAAAGTTCAATCGTTGCTTCATTAAATTGATATAAAAATTGGTCTAAATCTTTAAACAATTTCCAATCAGATTCATTTGGAAAAATATCTTTTAATTTAGGATTTTTAACTAATAACATTTGTATATTTTCTTTCAAACTACATGTACGATTAATCATTTTAAAGGTTGAATTCCATCTTATTTTACAATCCATAATCGGACGAAGAAATTGTTTATTATCTAACTTTGCAAAATTTTCTATTTTCGAAATGTTTTTATTAATTTTCTTAAATTTTTAATATGAGTTAATGCAGTTTCTAACCCAGCATTTACAACAATATTAAGGACATGAGCTACACATCTAACATGAATAAAATTATTTGATATTTTTGATTTTAAAATTTTTGTACTGCGAATCATATTACCACCATTATAAGTTGTTATTCCTAAAGTTTTAGTTTCTAATCCAAATTCTACAAGTATATTATAAATTTTATCAGCAATTTCATCACCTGAATGTTGACCTTTGAATCTAAATATATCTAAAGTAAAATGTTTTAAAATCCAATTTTCGTCGATAAAATGTATTGTAATACCCAAAAAACCTTCAAATTTTAAAGATGACCAAATGTCTGCAGTTAATGCTACTTTTCCTGGAAAATTTTTAATAAAATTTGTAACTAACTCTCTTTTTTTCAAATTGCTTCATTATAAAATTTTTAACTGTTCCTTTACTTGGTATTTGATAATGAGAATCAAGTATTGATACTCATTTTATTAAATGCTTCACCTTCTACTACTTTAAATGCTTACATATCTAAAATTACCCATTCAATAACTGTTTGTGTTTTTTTGACTTAAATCTCTTGTGAATGTCATTTAACATAATTATCTAATGTTATTTGCTTTTCTTTCTCAAATAACAATTCATGACTTTTCAAATGTACTTGAATAGAAATTGGTTCCTGTTTTATTACCAAAAATTTTAGCACAATTTGGACATTTTCTTGTTGTTTTATTTACATAATTCTATACATCAGCTTTTAATGATTTTTCATAAAAGTGGGATAAAAGTGGATTAATTATTTCTTCATTTTCTTTATTATTAATTTCTTCATCAACAATATTTATTTCATCATTAATTTTAATTTCTTCTTTATATATATAGTTAACACTTGATATAACGAATTTTGATATAGCAAATTATTTGATATAAGTGTGAAATGGATTTTAACATATGAAAAAAATTTTGATATAGCAAATTTTACTAATTATATTTGCTATAACCTTGTGTGAAATTAAGTTCTTAAACAATATATATGAAAATAACTCTTGATATAATGATTTTTTTTTACTACAACAAAGCATGTAATTTTATAACTCAATTTTTATTGGTTAATCAGTTAATTATATTATAAAAATGATTTAATTTCAAACTGTAATAACTCAGTCAATATTAATACTACAGACATAAAATATATACCATTCGAATCCTCTCAAAGAGACAAATCTAATGATATTAATATCATAAATATCTAATTACTGGATGCTTTTAGATCGATCAAAATATCTTTAAATATTCAGTATAAATATGTCCATCAATATTAATAACACTAAAATCATAAAATCTAATCATTGTATGCTATGATCGATCAAAATAACTTTAAATATTAATACAAAATAACTCTGTTAGTATTAATATTACAGATATAAAATATATACCATTCGAATCCTTTCAATGAGATGATTCTAATAATACTAAATTCATAAAATTCTAATTACTAGATGCCGAGATAATCACAAAATAGTATTTTTATTTTATGTTATACAAATTATATAATATCTTGTTAACAAATTTTCTTATAATAAAGGTCTGATTGGCCTAAATGCTTACTTCATTATATCAAGTATTGATTATACTGCTTTTATAAGTTTCAAAAATAGTTTCTTCATCACTTTTCATTAAATAATCAGACATGTTTATTTATTAAAATAAAAAAAGAGAATAAAAAAAAGTAAGAGATAAAAGAGGAAGGAAAAAGAGAAAAAAGAAGAAGGAAAAGAGAAAGGAAAAGTAAAATAAGTAAGTAAATGAATATGAATTAAGTAAAAATTTTTTATTATATATATATATATTTTCTTTTTG